TTGTGTTTTATCACTATCACTTTATCTCATTATTTATGTTTGTCAGCAAAAAAGCCAAGCTAATAATATGCAATTATTTCAACCCTGCTCCCATCTGCCTGCCCTTTCTACCTCTCTTTCTCTCTTTTATACACACACACACACACACACACACACACACACACACACACACACACACACACACACACACACACACACACTGGAATTGTGCCAGAGACTAACAGCACAACACAGCAAAGCTACTTGTCTCAGCAAGAAGCAAAAACATGCATTTCTAATATTTTTAATCAAACACTAAAAATATGCTACAATATCTTAACTACTGCACCTGTACACACACACACACACACACACATTTTCCCATTTCCCACACATTATCTGTGCCTGTATGTGTGTGTATAGAAGAGCTTTACTTGCAGTATTTCAAAGTTGAGTAAGAGGGAAAGTGTTGGGACCTGGAAGATGATAAGCATCAAACAAAAAGGGTGAGAGAAGCAGCCAAGGAAGAAAAGGGGACAATACAAACTTTTTTTCAATCTATGGTATGTTCATTTTTTAACACCAAATCCTGAATACACAAACACACAAAACACAAGTAATTAATATAATTCATTAATTAGTATAATTTTCTCAATAGAAGCTATTAGCAAAACTTGTTTTTTAAAATAATTTTTTTTAACTCTGTAAAAGCAAACACTGAGTTGAACTGACTTGTTGATGGGGGTTCTTTTGTCATTTTTAAGTAATTGCAATTCAGAAATGATCGTGTAAAGGATTAGCTGAAATGTAGAGAGCACTTACTTGTTTGCGATGCAGTTGGTGAAAGACTCATGGGAAAAGTTCTGTCTCTCTCTCTTGTTTCCTATGTTTCTCACATACACCTCCCCTGCTTTTGTCTCCCAAACCAGTTCATTCTGGTTACATTAGCCCCATTCACCCCACACCCTCAAAACACACAGTCATTATCAACACACACACACACACACACACACACACACACACACACACACACACACAGAGAGAGAGAGAGAGAGAGAGAGAGAGTACTTTCCTTTCAGTTGGTATTTGTTGATTGTATAGATCCACATCAGCAATCCCTTTTCAGCTTTTGTTCTTTCTTTGATCATTTTGTATCTTGTCTTATCAGACAAGACAAAATCAATTCATATCCCTCCTTTCATCTTATATGCATAATTTTGAGTTGATCTACATCAAGGGGGACCAAAGACACAAAAGGGAAGAATAACAGCACAGAAAATAACAATTTTGAAACCATTATGTATCAAAGTAGCTTTGATGGTATTTAAACAGGTCAAGCAGCATGGTGATTTCAAATAAAACATTTAAAGAATAATTTTAAAACTGCTGGATGACATTTACATAAAATCATCTACCAAGCAACAGTGGTATCAGTGAGGTGAGGTGACTGTACAGAGCCCAAAGCATACTCAAAGACAGTACCCACCTACTTACCCTGATGCAGTCTGGAAAGGGAAGTACTGCCGTACCACCAGACTACAGAGCAGTCCACAGGCGGTGAGACTCCTTAATTCATCCTTAGCACTCAATCATGAAAAATATATTTTTTAAGGTTTGACTTATTAATCACCGATATACATGTAGCATAAGGGTAACCTGCATTTTATTACACAAACCCGTGACAAATAAACTAAACTGGTAAATATATATTACTAAAAGCCAACTAAAACCAAAAAAGATGACATGAGTCATAATGTTTTAATAAGGTGGCAACACCCATAATAACCCTTGAACCACTAATTTACAGTGGAAAAGCAGGTCCACAACAAGTTGTTCTCTCCATGCATTATCATGCTCCATGATAATATAGTTTGATTAAGCTCTGTAAATGAGCATAAGAGCAGTGTGTCACACTCTGATCAAAGACACCAAAATAAATTCAGAACTAAAGCTTTCATTATTCATGAGAAATTAACTTGCACTTGTCAAAGGGAAAATGAATAGAGATTTCACAGGAATGAACGCAGCAGCATACATCATGTTGCTTCTTCACCTACATTTCATTCCATCATTAATCTCATACATGTGCATGCTGTACCAAATCTACATTCAAAATATTCTCTATTTGGCAGAAAAGATCAGTTTTGAAAAATTTAGACAAATGGTGAAGGGATTCTGATTCTGAAAACTGTATTGTGTAAAAATGCAATATATTTGAAAGTCTCTTCTGACCTTTAGCAATTACTAAAATGAGGACTGGAATGATCTTCTCCATATATAAAACAGTAATTTAATCAGTTTCCATGAGATCGAGATCTCTTCTACGAGAGACCTGAGTATGCCAGGGTCAGCATTCACAAACATGATGAGAATACTCTCAGAGACCTCCGAACTTCAAATTCTTTGCTTAGGAGTGATTTAGGAAAATTCTCAGAGAAACTCTGAGCAAGGAAGGGACAGAACTTTGAGCAGGTGTGGTTGACCCTATTGCTATGTATGACACATTATTTTAAATGATAAATGGACTGTGCTTATATAGGGCCTTTGTGTTGTGGCATTTAGTGTAAAGGGCTTTAGGTCAAAAGACTACAAACAGAAATTTGATTAAAAAAATTAGATTAATTAATGAAGAACATTAGTGTGATTGCTGCATCTGCATCATTGCTGAGATAACTTCTATTATTATTACAGATAAAACTGAATTGAATTGGAAAATTATATTCACATCTGAAGTTATTGAATAATGTGTTCAAGAAATATGGTGGTGTTTTATTAAAGGTACATGGTGGAGCTATTGGTGCCATGCTTCAATATGTTGTGTGCATGCTTATGGAGAAGTTTCATCTTATTAAGGACTACAGAAATGTATATTGTTACTGTCAGGTCATAAGTCATAAGGCTTCATCTAAATATGGTAGGTACCAAATTTAGTGAAGATTAGATTAAATATATGCTAAAAGAAGCGAAAAATATCTTTACCAAAAAAATTGTGGGAAATGTTTATTGGCACGAATGGACATGGCCTATATCAGATCAATTGGCTTGTAGCAATCACACAACTAGCTCAGCTTCTGAAAGTGACTATTTAATAATAATTGACTCTTAACTCAGCTGCTATGATGTTATAATTTCCCTTCTGGGATAAATAAAGTTTTTTCTATTTCTATTTCTATTCCTAGTGTTACTGTACTGTACTTCACAATCTGCATTCTCGTCGGTCCCATGGCCAAAGCATAGGGTGACTAGGTGTCCCACTTAACATAGGACTGTACAACATTTTTATATTATTATTATTATTGAGATGATGTGTGAAATGCAGCTACAGCAAAGACTGGGAATCTACTTATAACTCGGTGCTGGTGGAAGGCGTGAAAGTTACATTCAAATCAAATATATTGAAGTCAGTCCCTCCAGTAAATTGTGATGTTGCGATTGCAACAATTGAACCAATTCTTTTGAATTCTTCGCAGCCTTGCAATTTCATCCAGTCACCGCAACTTTTCCGCAAATTTGATCAGTCATGGTAGAATTGATCAAACTGCAATTTATTTTGATTGTATTTCTTTGAATCATCTACAGACTTTCACAACAGCAACGGGAAATATTAAATTCAATTTCAATTCAATTTTATTTGTATAGCGCCAATTCATAACAGAAGTTATCGCAGGACACTTTTCATATAGAGCAGGTCCAGATCATACTCCTTATAACATTATTTACAGAGATCCCACAGTTCCCACCATGAGCAAGTACTTGGCGAGAAGGGCAAGGATGAGCTTCCTTTTAAGAGGCAGAAACCTCGGACAGACCCCGGCTCTAGGTGGGTGGTCGTCTGCCTCGACCGGTTGGGGTGAGAGAGAGAGGAGAGCACAATACAGGCGAGTTGATCAATAGGGAAAATCACAACTTAGGGCAGCTATTTAGCAGAGGGATGGTCTGGAAGGCGGTAGATGATTGGAGGAGATTGCCAGACGCCGCACCAATCAGATAACCGGCCGGAACCAGGAAGTAGGCAGGTCTCGCGCCAGCCAATCCTCTGCAAGGGATCGCACATCCTGCTTAACATGACACAGCTGCACAACACAGATAAACATACACAGATAATGGAGATGGCCGTAACCACATTGTCTTTAGAAAATTTAAGTAAAGAGACCGAGCTGTTCTGCAATTTCTCACATCTAGGGAAGCCGAAGGCATACTGTAGCTAGCTAGCAAAGGGGACAGTGGCTCAGAGGTAGAGTGGGTCGAAGTATCCTTGAGCAAGATATAAACCCCAAATTGCTCCCATTGGTGTGAAAATGTGAATGAATGAGTTAGTTTCTGTTCAATAGTACATCACTGTGTGAAAGGGTGAATGTGGCATTTACAGCAAAAGCGCTTTGAGTGGTCGGAAGACTAGAAAGGCGCTATACAAGTAGAGTCCATTTACCATTTAACAAAACACATGTAATGACTCGCAAACGGGCCGGAGAATCACAAATGCCAATGCACAGTAGGTTTTTATACTGATACAGTGTTAGGGGTTATGCTAAGTATGGTATGACTTTGGCCAATGCTTCAGATTAACAAGTTTTTTGTGACTTTTGCCGTCTTGTGTTTTCTCTGGCCTAATTTGTGTTTCTTCTGTCTCAGGATCATCATCTGTCTCCCTGCCCTCCATTTGCTTTCTGCATTCTGCCAGACAGACAGCCAGCCATGCTTCCTCCCATTCCCCATAGCCCAATCAGCTACTCACTTTATCCTTGTTGCATTAAAGACTTTATCTTTTAACACTCCAAGTCCAGCAGTTGAGAACCTTCATGAGGGTATGATGTATAGCATTGTTGGATTATACGGCATTAGTTTAACCTAGTAACACCATACACTATAAGTGTAAAGATTTTAATCTTCTCAAGAAGCTTTGTGTTCTGAACTAACTTTGAAACATCATGGTAATCTTTGCAGGAAGAAACAGAAATAAATGCTAAATTCTCTTTGCTTGTGTAATCCCAGATCTATGAAAACACACAAAAAAAGTCAAATTCAAATATACTGCCTTTAATTATATATAACAAATTATACAAATATCAAAGAACTTAAAAACAATCAAAAAAGAAATGCATGATTAGAAAGACAGAAAAAGATACAAAATTAAAACAATTTTAACTGTTTCACATCAATGTGTTCACCAAAAAACAATGTCAATGTCAACATGAGAGAATAAAGACTAGATTGGCTACAGATGTAAATTAAAAAAGATAACATATAACCTGCAATACATTACTGCAATGCAGTACATGCAACAGTTTGTCAATGCAAAGCTAATCTGAAGACACCAACACATTTCAAATTCTAAAATTCACAGGCAAAATAAATTAAAATAAAAAGTCAGTGAAGCTAGTTTGAGAGTTTCCAATTATTTGAGCAGCTGCAGTGTTGAGGTCAAAGGCAGAGTATATTTTATTAATTTCTTGTAAAAAGTTTAGACAGAAATCATCAAACCCTCAAGAATCCTGGTGTACAGATACTCAGCTATGTTTGAAAATAGGTTGGAGGTTAGCTCACATGTTGCACAGTATTTTGTTTCATCAAAGCAGTGTGCAGATCTTCATTTTGCATCTCAGAATCATGTGCCTCAAAAGAACTGACACGGAAAAAAGGTTCAGCAGGGCACTCCTAGTTCAGAGCTCTGTGTATTCGTACAACTTGCAGGATGACGATACACGAGAATGAACTGGATTTTTTGTTCAGTGATGCAATATTCATTTTAAAAGGTCTTTGGAAAACTGGTGTAAATCAGTTATGTCTGAATATGTGACCTGCCATTACAAGCAGAAATACAGCAGAATTGCCAAAATGCATGCAGTTTTTCTGAATTAAAGACTGAGGTAAAGCTGCAGGCTTTGTTGTGTTTGTATCTGAAACATCTCCCCAAGTCTTTTAACATTTATCACAAATAATATTGAATCAATAAACTACATTTCACTTGATTTAGCCAAAAACAGGGTTTTCAACATATCCTTCATTATGGGACAGTGTCAAAATATAATGTTTAAATATACTGTATCAAGCTCTACAATATGCAGTTGTAATGTAGGCATTGAGAGTGGGTTAAGTAGATTATCAATTTTCTACCACTGTTACTCTCTTGCCATACAATGTTGCTTATTGTAATAATTTTTTAGAATGTTGTTCTTCATAGCTCTCCATATAAGGAAGTAGGTGGCAACCAATTAGTCCATTCTGTGCAGAAGAGTCAAATAAAACATTAAATGTCCGCTTTTATGGGAACGCGCACAAAGCTCGAGAGGAAAAGCGATCTCTGACCGGGATTGTAGGTTTAGCAAGCCAGCTAAGGCAAACAAAGCCCGGCTATATACAACTTCCTTCATACTACACCTCTCTAAGCAGGTAATGGAGCCAGATGTAATGGAAGGTGGGTGTGACAATAAAGGTTATCCTCCCATTGGTGGTGTCAGAGTTTCATTTTCACATTAGATTTAAAATCATAATTTAACTTTAAATGTAAACAAGCTTTTAAATTTGGCACAAACTAAATATAATAATCACATATGATTTGAGACTTGATTTTAGATAACTTACCAAACTAATTAAATATGAACATTTGATTTTCTTTTTCTAATCTAAAGTACACAGACACGCATTTGATCTAATTTTATTTTTGTACTCTAATAGCATTCCCCTAACCCACAGTCACAAAAAGAAAAAGAAAGTTGAGTAATCACATTAGGGTTTTTGTCAGTTTAAAAAAAACAAAAAGGAAATGGAATGTGCCAATCTGCCAGAGCACATATGAACATGACTTCCAAGTTAAATCCTCCTGCAGACAAAGGATTTTAATATTGCTTGTATTTGATACAATGTTTTGATTGATTGGATTTTGGATGCTTAAATGGAGTTCAGAAATTCATCTTAGACATTCAATCCTTCAGTACAGGCACAATAAAAACATCACTTGGATTATTTCCATCATATATTTATATAAATAGTAATCATCTCTAGAACATGTTGATATAAGTCAAGAAAATACAACATATTGATAAAGTTGTATGGGTGAGATATTCAATCAAAATGTTTTAAAGAAGTACAGCAGGTTCACAGCATAAGTGATCGTGTCATTTCTGCTCAGTGAAATAATCCCAGAGCTTCATTCCAACTAACAAACAGGGGAACCACTGTCTGGTCAACACTTTGGTCTAAACAACTCAAAAAATATATCAGTTATTTGTGAATGGTTGAGTAGAGTCCATATGACAGTGTTGGGTAACTGGAAAAATATGTTATTGGTGAATGGAGTCCATCGCTCTATCACTCCCGGCATGACAAAGACATGGCAGGAACAGTAGAGGCGTCAAATGGGAGAGGAGTGAGTGCAAAGTCGAGGGGCAGCGTGGACAGCCAGAATATTTTCACATCTAATTGGTTTAGAGGGTTAGACACCAGAGTTGGTGATTGAAAGACTAACCAAGACGCTTTAGGTAAGTTTTATTCTGTTCCTCTCAAGATTAAAAAAAGTGTTTGACTAGTCTTAGTTTGGTAAAAGAGAGACTTGAATTGAGAAGGTGTACGGTTGTATTTTTCTGTTTAAAAAAGAAAAAAGGTATTTCCTCTCATGACATTTTGTGAATATATTAAAGCTAACAGGCTGCTGATGGTGGCCAGTTGGAAAATTTTAACATATAGCTCAACTCTACCTTATGATTTCAGAATCCCCTGACATTCTCACCATCATGCCAAATTTTTAACTTCGGTTCATGACAAAATATTTCAAAAGCTAAAGCTTTAAACTTAACTGTGGATCTTCATGGTCCCAACAGGATGCATCCTAATGGTTTTAACCCCTTTTTACCTTTCCATTTGTTTCTTTCCCCACTGGGCTTATATTTCTCCCCAGAAGTTTACCCTTGTTGGATATTCAATAAACTTCAATCAAGCGCCATCTTCAAGCCAAAATGTTATCATGGCTCACACAATATGTTTCATAACCTCACCCCAAAGAAAAATTTAACATCTTACGTTTTAGTAATATTGCAACCTCTAAAGGGTTTACAGTTTTAATCTCGTTTGATTTTAATCCATGGTTGTATGCAATGAACTACCTTTCCTGAGTTTTTCAAACAACATTAACATTAAAGTCTGCAGACTCTATTTACTCTCTGATACTGAATGAACCCACAAAAGAAGAATACATTTTAGTAAGTCCTTTGAATTAGTTTGATATGAAAGCATTTTGAGAACAAGTCAGTCAAAAATGACTCCCCAAATTACTATTCAAACTCAGAAACAAGGTTCCAATCATCCCAAAGCTTCTATATTATATTGACTTTACTAACATTATTATTATAACTGGGCTACTCAAAATGAAAAAATCTCATAATTTTACCGTATATCTTAACCCACATTAACATAAATCTCAATCCATTTAATCCATATAACTGTCATTACCATCATTATATCACATAATCAGTATTAAATGCATGTGGAGATCCGATTTGGCACAGGTTCACTCTCAGTCTGCACTCTGTGCTTTCAAGGAAGGACTTAATAGCAGTAAACTGGAATTCGTGTTCCAGTCTCACAAAGATGTTCATAAAGAGTTCAACAGTTTCAGACAGCCGTTTCCTGGTCCTCTCTCTGTATCATCTGGTAATGCTGTCTGTTCTCCAGATAGGCCGCCAGTTCAGCATCATGAGCCTTCTCAGCCCTGTTCTTAGGAGTATCACCCTGATAAAGAAACACAAACAATTACAAAAACATTAGAGATTATTTTTTCTAATTTCAACCATTTGTCCAACCTATTTTCTTTTACTCCTCTAGTGGCTCAACATTTACAATCCACATTAAGCTATCTCAACAGCAACAGGCCAGGTTGTCATTAATTCCACCAGACATTTCTGGGTAAATACCCAAAAAGTGTATTATGGTGCTTTCACTATAGCAACATGTAAAAAACAAACAAACAGGATAACTGATGAATGATTCCCATTTGAAGACCCACCCAGGTATATTGCAGGAGAGGACATGAGGTGTGATGTGGATGAAGATTTGTGACAGAAGAAGGGGTTGACTTCCACTGTTGTCTATTTATATACATGGCTTTGGTAAAGTTGTCAGTCTATGTACAGTTTGACTACCGTCACTGCAACTCTTCATCCTTTCTCACGAGTGCCTTCTTTTACCTGTCTTGGATTTCCCACAGGTATTAGTTCATCCCATCATTTGATGTTTTAAGTTCCCTTTCTCTGCTTTTGTTGTTTGAAACGTTCAAATCTAGTGACAATAGGTCTGTGATGAGTCTCTGTTCCATCGGCCCGAATGGAAATCGAGCCTCTGTTTTTGACTTATGGACTCAATCTTAAAAAAAATATTACAGAAGTGGATGTACACGGTTTCTTTTTATGTGAAGATAAAAGCATATTATCATCATTATCTAGTTGTTGCTGATTTACTTTCCTCAGAGATCTAATTCAAAAGATACACCACAGAATAATTTCCTGACAGTGTACATGTATGTATGCACGTATGTATGTATGTATGTATGTATGTATGTATGTATGTATGTATGTATGTACTTATGTACATGTATATAAGTAACTGTATATATTGGTTAATTTTATTTTAATTATAATTTTCTATGTGTGTTGCATGAAGGAACTGCCAATTTCCTTTTGTTATAAAACATTGTGTTGCATTCATGGATAGATTGAGGGAACCTTTCTCAATAACATCTAAAAGTTAAAACTGAAAACCCTTAATGTACATAACACTGTGGTACAGGACGTAACACTTTTGTACTCCAAGCTGTGATCAACACTCGGCTTTAGAAATTTAGTCTTGTTAAAAAAAACTTTTATTATTTTAAAGCTTTTATTAGAGTCTTATTTCGACTTGCAATAATGTTGAGCCTCTCTTCTCCTCTATGCTGAGAAGACTGTGATGTTTCATTAGGTTCCAGTTGTTATGTCTAAAATGTGTGTGTTAGTGAGTTTACAGGCTGGCTCATGCCTGTGTTGATGAGTTTTCCATTTCCCATTTCTCTATAATTGAAAAGTGCTGTTGTTGTTAAAGTACCATTGTCTCCAAGAGATAAAAATTAGATAATGAGAAACAACTGAATTTGAAATTAAATAAACAACACGTCCTTGAGAGGACGAAGACATACAGGCACAACAAAACACTACACACACATATTCTAAGTTGTTTAGACTCTAATTAGTTGAGTGTGTGTGGGTCTTTGGTTTTCTACCAGATTTGGAAACAGTGAGTGAGTAAGCGAGAGAGAGAGAGAGAGAGAAATAAACAGGGAGAGTGAGAGAAAGGGAGCTGAGCTTTATTTCAAGAGCAGACAACTGCTCCTAAAGCATGCAGTTTACATTTCCCTTCCAGACAAAGAGAGGGGGACAGGGTGAGAGAGAGAGAGAGAGAGAGAGAGAGAGAGTACAGAGAGAGATAAAACAGAGCAAAATCATAATCAAAATCATAGTCTTCTCTTCTCAAGTCATTTGTCTCTTTTCATTCATTGCACTCTCTCACATTCTCTCTCTCCATTCTTTACCCTCTCTCTCTTTTCTGTATCTAGGTCATTGCTGAGTCCACCGAGTTAGAAGCTTTTTCTACAGGGTTTAAACCTCCATGGAAAACTGAACAATAATGAAAGAAGATGCATATTTGACACACACACACACACACACACACACACACACACACACACACACACACACACACACACACACACACACACACACACACACACACACACACCAGGAGACTGCCACAATGGTTGCCACAGTGACTTCAGCAGAAAACCCAATCTTTCTTTAAAAAGCCTATAGCGTTATTTTCCATCCAGTGATTTTGCCAAGCAGCAATTGCAGCCACGTTGAAATCAATGCATGCATGGTTCCAAGAGAAATGGTTATGCTGAAGTCCAAAAATCTGTATCACACATTTTTAAGATTCTGGCGGTTTGTTGGTATATCACAGCTTTTTTAAAAAAATTTTTACACAGAATATAAAATCATGTATATACTGAAAGCTTTGGTTATTATACGGTAGGCATTGTTACAATATATTCCATAGTCCATCGTATTAATAATATTTTGCTTTTGTGAAGTTGGAAGTTATTTACACCCTGTTTTGAACAGCGAGACTTGTGTGATGTTAGACTGTGTTGAAATATATTAACTAAATGTTCGGTCTTCCTGCTGTTTGTTCTGACACATTCAGAGTCATTACTGCTTTGGCCATTATCAATGAAAATATATTTAGGTAATTCAATTAATATCATAAATATTTAACGACTAGTCACCTGGGATCTTTACTCAGGAACAGCCTTAATATTAATGTATAATCGCATTTGCAAGAATCCAACGCGTATGAACGACTGCTAATACTAATAAAGCTAATACTAGCTATCTTTTGTTAGAGCTAAGAGTCAGGTTAAAGACAATTAAAATAGACTAAAAACGATTCAGACGGAGCTGGAATCTTTGTAGCTGGACCACAAACCCAACTCAAAGCTTCAAAATGCCCCATCAAAAATGTTCTGGAGACGGCACAGACATCAACATCGTTGTTTTTGTTACAGTGCATTTTTTCTGTATAAACAGACACACATGGGAGTTGACCTAGGAATTAAGCTATTCATAACCACATCTGGATGATGTGGAGAGACTTACGAAGAGGGAGCCTTGTAGATAAATGGCATTTGAGCTTCCAGTTCAGTGGACAATGCTCCAAAACGTTCTTGATAAGAACATTAACAGACTAGCCAAAATATTTAAATCGGATAAACACCGGAGTGAACCATAATGCGTGTTGTGAGTATAGGCTTTAGAAACATTTCTAGAAACTCTGATTCTAGACTAAAGTAGATCTGATATCTCATGAGGAGACCAAAGCTACTTATAACATTAGAAATGACTCCCTCATTGAAAATTCCAAGGGTTGAAACTCATACCGGACCATACCGGCCTACTTTCACCCCTTGTTATTATGTATTTAAAGTGAGTTGAAATTGCAATGTATAATCAGCACAGCTGGGTAAATGGTCTCTATGTGTGTGTACAGAACCTACCTGTAGGTCTGTTTTCATCAGGGAGGCTCCAGCTTCTACCAGATAATGACAGATGGTTCTGTGACACAGAGATGCAGCTCGATGAAGAACCGTCTCCCCACTGGTGGTCCAGAGTACAGAGACGGAGAGAGAGTGAGAGAGCAAGCATTAGATAACAGCATCTGACGTCTTCTGGGAGTCAAGCACCATTGATGATCAGGCACCCCACTGCTTTTGTTTGGTTTGTTATGTTTATTCTCTTTAAAATTTGGTACACTTGTTAGGATGCCCAGCACATATAGGCAGACCAGGGCCCAGTGGAACAACTTCAAAGCCGGTGCTATAGTCACAGGACAAAGTTATACAGAGTTTTACTACACTGTGTCCATAAAAAAAATGTAATGTTCACTGGACAATCAAAGGATAGAAACAAAATCAAACAACTTGAAATTGAAGAAAGAAGGCTTTGTACAGAAAAGCCTTTTAAATCCCTTCATTTGTTTAATTCATCTTTGATATTTTGGATAATAGTTGGCTAAGGTAACCATGAACTTACTGTAGTTTTTCTGTGACATCAAGCAGGTCACTTGGAGCTGGAACAAACAGATGAGAGGAAATTAGTGGCACTAGACTAGACAATTGTTGTTGAGTGTCAATGGCATTGGTCACTGAAAATTTGATTTTAAGGGGCAGGGCCTATGACTATGACTTGAAGTCAGTTTACATAACACTGAGGATGGACTTTTGTGTCCTGCAGGAAAACTTTAGAAATGAACAATTATTGCATATTCAAAGATTCCGGATTTTTTTATTAGGTAGAAGAAGAGGAAGTTATAATGTGTACATTTTTATTTTATTTTTTGCAGAAAAACACATTGGACATACATCAATGTTCCAAACAGACTATTTGTATATGTTGTAATACATGTCTGGAGGGGATCTTTACCTAAAAGAATGTACTTTATATACCTGTTATTGTGTTGTTGTGTTGTATTCATCAGTTCATTTTTAGCTACTGTATAACAACATTTTGTCTGTTGTCTTTTCATAATTAAAGTTCACAACTATATTTGCCATGTCACAAATGTTATAAAAAGATTAAGGAATACATCTAAATAAATATCACAATTCACTGATACTGTCACATAGTTGAACAAGGATCTTGTAATTGTAAATGCTTTATAGTGCAGTAAAAAGTGAGACCGTGAAGGTTTGAGTAGCAGCAACCTAAATTCTTGCTCTGTTTCATACGTGTAGTAGTAAATACTGACATTTTTTATGATTTACCCAATATTTCAAATGCCAAACACTAATTTTAAAACTAAAGAAAACTTGATCTGGAGTTGTGTTTTGTCCAGATCTTGACAGTAACACCCCTCATGAAACTTGGATTTATTAGAATTCCATTGAATATAATCTAATTATATTCATAATGGATGCCGGTTTGTTGCAGTTACCATTGTCCAAGATATAGCGGACCATCTCTTTACTTCCTGTATTGACAGCATGGTGCAGTAAACTGCAGCCTGATAAGTCCAGCGTTGTGAGGTCTGCTCCCTTCAGGTGCAGCTCCTGCACCTTTTGGTGATATAGGGGTTAAATTAGCAATAAAACAAGATGCAATTAGTGGTAACATTTTGAATAAATACTACTTCACTTAAATCTTGAATTTTTGACCACTTAGAGGCAGACAAATAAAAAAATAAACCATCTGACATATAACTTTAGAAACTTCATGTGGCCAATGTATGAACAGTTCTTTATTTACATATCATGCAGGCAGAGCAACATTAGTATTCATTTAGAGTATTGTTTGTGTCACCTGAAAAATGTAATTCCAATATTCACTCTCTTTTAGCTCCTGAGGAAACTATCTTGCTCTTTAGCTGCGGAATGCTCCACTATTTTCACCAGTTAGTCTCTGTGTCTCTCTGCTGTTTGCTACTGAGCAGGTAGTGTACAGTGGCTTTATAACAGAATTTCATTTAAAACAGCTGCCTGCTGCTGCTAAAAACCAGGCTGATGAGAGTGGAGTCCGAAAGAGCCTGGAAAGTTCTGTAGAGCTAATGACCTGATGAGTCAAAGATTATTCTCTGTGGGTTAGTATTACAAGTGACAGACTCCATATATAGTCATTTGATCCATTGTTAATATAAAAATATCTACTACAGCAGTTTTGAAGATAAACACCCTTATATTGTGGCCCTGCAAAATACCTTTGCTACTTTGAGGAACCAAATTTAATTGAATTTAGCAGCCATCTCTGGTCTGGAAATTTTGTGAATTACACCTCGATTAAAGGGAAGAAAACATCCAGAAGCAAAAATTTACATGGAGGCTCCATGTTAACACTTTTATGGTGAACAAACACTGTTGAATCAGTTGCAATCTATGGTAATTAATGGTACTTTTGTGAAGTTGTTACAGTGTAAACAGTTCTTGATCTTAATTTTTTTTAAAGTAGCCAAAAGTTTTAAGATAAAACCATATCTATGATGGATGAATATTGAAGATTTGAGGATGGACTGACTAAATGAAACTCACCTTCTTAACATCCTTGTTCTTTACACACTCAGTCAACATCTCTAGCATGAGAGAGTGAGAGAGAGAGAGTGAGAGTGAGATTAAGAGTGAGGGAGAGAGAGAGTCAATACAAATTCCTGTATGCATGTAAGGATATAGATGAAGATTTTTTTTCACAAAAATCAGGAACAACTCAGAATCTTTTGAGCTTAACACATCAAGCATTCACAAGAAAATCATCAGGTTGTGGATCAATTAGTGTCAGGATAAATCACAAGTTGTAAAATACAAGCTTCATCTGGCCAGGCTGTAGCCTAAACTTCAGAAGACGAAAGACAGAAGATGATGTAGGGCCCTACTTTCATGATGCAAGTGGAAAGACAAGCATAAAGTGGTGGTGCTGTCATTTTGGTAGCTTTTTTGGTGTGGATTTCTTAAAAAGGTAATTAGTATAATGACAACAGAATAATTAGTATTTGGAAGCCACTTAATGATTGCTATTTCAGTTTAATTTCCATTGTATCTCATGTTGTAAATGGTCACACCATATAAGAATTGCTGTGATATGTACATATTTGCACTGCAATGCCTTTTAGAAATAAAATATGAAACACCTCTTAGAAAAATAAGGTTGGAAAGGAGGCTTTTTACAAGATGTACAGGATTAATGAGCTTGGTTATTTTGTAGCCTGGTGTCATTTAATCAAGGTTAACTCTCTGTTTGTGTGTATGTGTAATAACACTGCACTCAAATCAGAGACTGCAGATTTATCAACATACTGAACTAAAATAGAAGCTTTTCATACAGTATAAAACAGCTGTGGATTCAATGCAAACACATTTACATTACACAGGATTTGCTGTTTTTCTATATTTCATCATAAAATTCTTAAGGTTATTTTAAAATCTTTGGAATCACCTTGGGTTTTCAGTCATTTTCATGGGCATTTTTTTTTATTAATTAACAGTTTTCTGAAATTTTATAAACAAGGCAATTAATCCGTTAGTTAAGAAAATAATGAGCAGATTAACTGCTAATGAAAATACTCATTAGTTGCAGGAATAAATATTTTTGTAAACACCTAGGAATATTCCTAGATACAAAACTATTAATTTTTTAAAGGTAAGACAGCTAATTTGCAAGTAAGGTTCTATAAACCTCTCATTGATTCAGTTCATACAGTATCACTGTATGGCATGGTAACCTGAACATGGGGACTCTTTGGGTGGGGATGAAGTATCACTGCAACCCCTCACTTCCTTTGTTTTTCCAGTTTAAGAGGTAACAAGGTCTCTGGTAACAAAGAACATCTAGAAGAAGTAATTCCCATCATCCCACCAAACTAGCTCATTCAATTTTTAGACACTCAATCATATATATTTGTAAAAACTTGTTTTTGTTCAATTTCTTATTGCAATTGATGGGGTCCTACATAAAAACAGAATTTCTAAGCCAAAGTTCAGTTTAGTTTTTTTCATATGAGAGGCTTTGTAATTGTGTTTTTCAGTGTGCTTTTGTCACTGGGTTGAAGTTGGTGGAGATTCAGTTGGGAAAAGGTGATGTTATATACTCATACTATATATTCAATTCAATTTTATTTGTATAGCGCCAATTCATAACAGAAGTTATCTCAGGACACTTTTCAAATAGAGCAGGTCTAGACCGAACTCTTTATAAAATGATTTACAAAGACCCAACAGTACCACCATGAGCAAGCACTTGGCGACAAGGGCAAGGAAAAACTGCCTGTTAAAAGGCAGAAACCTAGGACAGATCCTTCGGCTCCAGGTGGGTGATTGTCTGTCTCAAGGATATACTGGGTCTGCCCCAGGGTCTCCGCCCAGCTGTGTGTACCCAGAAAACCTTCAAAGCAGGGCCTTCAGGAGGCATCCTAATCAGATACCTAAACCACCTAGGCTGGCTCTTTTTCATACAAAGAAGCGTCTCTAGTCTGAGTTCCCTCCAGATGTCCAAGCTCTTTGCCCTATCTCTCTATCTCTAATCCACCAGACTGTCTCACACTCTGATTTACGTCAGATGTCAAGATCCTGAGATACTTGAACTCCTTCACCTGGGGCAGCTACTAACTCCTAACCCAGAGGAAGCGACCCACCATTTTTTCCGGCAGAGAACTATGGCCACAGACTCGGAGGTGCTGACCCTTATTTCAGCTGGGATGCAATTATCCTCACTCTCTCCTCACCTTAGCTGTGTCTTGAGATCAGAGACAAGAGGCAACCTTGGGGGCAACACCCACCGAAAACTTGTTTGACTTAGCTCTCACTTTGGGTACCTAAGGAACGGACGGCTCGTTGCAACCGTCCCAGTATCCCATACTCCCAGAGTAACCCCTACAGGATTACCTGGGGTCTACAAAACACATGTAGACTGGATGGTCAAACTCCCATGATCCCCTAGCAACCCCACAAGGGTAAAGAGCTGGTCCACTGTTCAACGGCCACGACAGAATTCACAATGCTCCGCCTGAATCTTAGTGGATCTTAATGAAATCTTGCCTGCTACAATGGAAGATATGTTGGCTTTAGCAGAAGAGAGGGACGCAAATGTCAATACCCATGCTTTTTAGATCAGATTGGGGGGCTAAAGGAATTGAAATAATATCAGCCCTAACTGACATAGCACTTAATGATTCTGTATACTTGCGGAGATACTGCAGCAACTGAAGATGCAGGGTGATATGATGGAAAGTTGCAACAGTAACGCTGGTTGACCTGGCTGTCTGCTGGGTCTGTAATACTGTTCATTCACCAGTTCACCGGCTTTAACCCGCCCCCTGACTTTTGATAGAAGTTGACAAATGTATTTGTTTTGCAGCAGCAAGTTACACTATAGATAAATGAAAGTATATATAAATAAATACAATTATAAATAGACAAACGTGAATAAATGAACAGTGAATACAGCGTCATTAATTAAAATATCAATGAATAAATAAAAGTGTAAATAAAGGAATTAATAATTAATTATATCAGAATATACAGAGATAAAGATAGAGTGAGAGAGATGGCTAAATGGAAAAGAGTATATACAGTGAGAGCTACTGAATTAGATAAAAGCATCATCATTATAATGTACATCCTCATCATAACCATATCAAACACAGACATACAGTGTGTTTATGTAATGGTTATTGGTTAAAACACATGCTGTGTGTATGGCTGAAGCCAGGCTGACATATGAGATGAATGTTTATTAGGCTGACCTCAATACGCGCTATCACTCCCTCTCTCTCTCTCTCTAAATAGCTGAGTCCTAATCCAGTTATGTTAGGCTTAGTGTGAGTGTGTGAGAGAGAGGGAGGGGTGAGAGGGGGGGGGGCTGCAACACTAATCAAAAACAACACACAAACCACAAAATCTAACACACACAACACACACTTTGAATGTAGGAATTAAATGAGTTGAGCCCAGGGAAGGTATTAAGTAAACCAGAGAAAATGAGAGCCAGTCTTAAGACATGAGAGCAGAGGAGAGGAGAGGAGGGGAAAGAAGGAGAAGGGAGGAAAAGAGATTTATGAAACCATGTGAGCTATGCAAAGACCTGCCCCCCCTCCTCTATCTCACAGAGAATCATAAATTGGGAATTGGGTGTGCACACACACACACACACACACACACACACACACACACACACACACACACACACGTCACTTGCTCCATTGAACTCCTCAGTTTGATGCAGTCAACCTGTCTGACCCTTATGGGAGCTGTCTGTGTGTGTATGAGAGAGAGGACTGCATTTGAAATAAAAGATGCATGTACGTTATACAGAAATACAGAATTAATTTTAAAAATATTTAGGACTAAATCGGCTTCTTTTAAAAAAAAAACAACAAATTATTCAATTAAGGAAAACATCATCCTAGCTGCCCATGTCAGCCTAAAAGGGTTCATGTACCGTCAGTGAAAAAAAGGAACAAAAAGACAGGAGAACCACTGAAAACCTCCACAGACTGTATGGCTCACAGTACTTGTGCTTAGTATCCTAAGAGAAATTACTGAAACCTAAAAGACATTGCAGACCTTAAACTTGCTACATTTTTGTTTATTTATTGTTGAAAACATCACTGATGATGTCTGATTGGATTTGATTTTAAAGCCAAAATTGTTCAAATCAACTGGATCAGGAGATTCTGACTATGGCAATAGTTACGCATTCAGATGCTGCAGCTGTCACTGCTTTAATTGCTGTACAGTTGTAGGATGCTTTTATGTGATCACCTGTGGAAAGAGAATACATTTGGTGCTGGCTCTGGCCTTTTTCAGAAATAACCGCGCTACTGTATTAGTTGTTGCTGTTGCAGAATGCAGGACTGATTTCCATAGTGGCTTTAATCACTGACAACAAGAACTGGGTTGTGTTCAGCTCAAAATGCAGAATACCAAAACGGGAATCAAACACCAACCTGCTGGCAAACTCACCGCCAAGACAGAAACACAACTGAACAAGATCATGAAGTGAAAACATGCATGTTCCCAAAGAGAATAAAACCAGTGAAGCTGACAGAAAATAAAGCTCAGGCTCATACACACCCAATTCACGGCATGCAAAGTGAGCACAAGGAGACAGAGTTTGAGAAAATATGTGTCAGAGAATAAAACAGTCTGTCTGGAGACACAGAAGCTGTTCCACTTCTCTTTTTTACCCACAGATGCACCTGTCAGCTACCAGATTTAGTTCAGTGTGTAACTTGAAATTCAAATGAATCTTTAAATCAAATATCAAGTTGTAACAGCCAGGTCTGACAAACCACCTATAGGACACAGAAAGTGTGTGTGTGTAGGTTTGTGTGTGTGTGTAGTTTTAAACCATTGTAGTGAGGACATTTTGATCAAAGGACTGTTTGAAGGTTCAGGTTGGAACAACGTTTAGGTTAGAGTTATTGTAATGGTTAGGGGGTAGGAAACGCATTATATCAGTAAGTGTCCTCACAAGTAGTGAAAGACAAAAATGCGTGTGTGTGTGTGTGTGTGTGTGTGTGTGTGTGTGTGTGTGTGTGTGTGTGTGTGTGTGTTACCTTTTTCTTTCTCCCTCTCTGTTTCACTCTTCTTTTGGCTCTTATCCTGTCTGGAAAGACAGATCAACACATACAGAAGAGCTGTTCAACCACTTGCTATTTCTGTTCACTGTACATTTCGAGCCATTTGCGGTGCTAAAAACACTCCTATCTATAATTTTTACTCTCAAACACACACAATCATGCACACACTCATGTACACCTTCTAATTTGTATGTCTAAATAAAACCCACTCCAACGATAAAGCAGATAAATAACTAATAATAAAACAACCTCTAACACATAAAGATGTTGTTGAGGGGGCAGAGTGGTAGAGGAGTGGGATGGCAGATTAAGTTCCTGACATTCAAGGTTGGGCTCCAACAACAGGAAGGTGTGAAGTTCGGGTTATGCTTGAACTACTTTGTACTAAGTAATATATTACGGTGGCCGACAAGGGCAAACGCGCCGCAAACGGCAAAACGCTGCAAACACGGGAATGATGCAAAACCAAAAACACATAAAACAAATGCAAAAGAAAAACTCAGCAACAGAAAAATGCTGCAATCACAGAAACGAAGCAGAAGCAAAAACTTACAAACCCAAAACAAAATGCTGCAAATACCAAAAACACACAAAACCCCAAAACAACTCGAAGAAGAAGAAGTAGTAGTAGTAGTTTTGGAGAGGACAGTAAAAATAAAAAGGTACATTTTCCTTTGTCCTTTTTAAACACTTGGCCGTTATCTTTTATAATATCACAATTAAATTATTTAATACTATTTAATATTATAGAAGAATATTATAGAAGAATATTATAATTATTACAATATTATTATAATATTATAATATAATTTAATATTATTATAATATAATATAAAATTCCTGAATTACACCAAAAATGCTGCCAGTACCCTAATTAAGCACAATCCTAACTCTAAACCCAACATAACCCTAACCCTAAATCTTTTGGCATTTTCCCTTTTTAACTAGGGCATTTTTTAGTGCTATTTTCTTAGCGTTAAGCAAGCTACGAGTTTACGAAAAAAAGCAGTTACACAGTTGTTTAGTACCACACCAGGAATGCTGTATGCAGGGTTTTAGAAATAAAAAGACAATTATTTTATGGCTTTTACCCTTGTAAAAAGGGTATGTCTGTGTTCACCAGAGGTGGTGGTACTCAATAAGAAGTAAGGGCACAAAAAAAAAAAGTGCTGGTACTCAGTACTGGTGAGTACTGGCTATTCCAGGCACTGGATGTATTGGCTAAACAAGGATACATGAACTTGATTACTATGTAGAGACTGATTCTTATAGACTATAGCTATGCAAAATGTGGTGCTGTTTTTTTCTCCTAGCATTTTTAGATGTGACGCCACTCACTCACTCACTCACTCACTCACTCACTCACTCGACAACCATTAGCTAGGTGGGCTCCAATACATTGTTTGCAGTCACGTAATTCCAATGATGCTCGAAATTCCAAATGATGCAGGAAGTGAAAGGCAGAATGGATGTGATGGAAAAATGAAAAGGACAGGACATTATGTTGTCACAGTCAAGCTGACATTTGACCATTTCAGTACAAAATACAAAAGTTTTTTTTTTTGTGGACCTTCGACCTTTGAGTCAAAAGTATCACAGATTCATCATCAAGCCAACTGCGAAATATTCTCATCAATTTCCTTGAGTCACTGCAAAACATTTTTTTTTGTTTTATCCTTGAGTCTAAGTGGGTGTTTGAAGAACTTTGAAGAAATTCCCTTAAGGCATTTCTCAGATATTGCATTCACAAGAATGGGATGGACTTGAGGTCACAGTGACCTTTGACCCCCAAAATCTACACAGAACATCCTAGAGTTCAAGTCGACATTTGTGCCAAATTTGAAGAAATTCGCTTGCAGTGTTCGTGAGATATCCCGTTATGTGGAGTTAAGTGTACTGACCTCAGTTTTGGTTTAAAATCAGCAGCAGTGGTGTTGGAACGATGAATGCAACCCGCCCTGCAAATCATAAAGTAACAGGGTAATGACAAACATGAAGCACAGGAAAAATCTGCTCAATAATCCAAAACAGAAACACAACATAATCACAAATTTGGATAAGATTGTGACATACAGGGATCACTATTGTTTCTGGTATGCTTAACATGCAGTGTATATGTTGTTGCATGTGTATCTGAGCTGGTCTTTGCAATGTGTTAATTTTCTATGTATGAAGTATCAATATCGTGCAGTGAAGTGCAATTTTTGAAATGTCAAACAGATGGTTACACCTTGTTCCAGATAACAATCTATAAGTTCACATTTGGTTTAGTTAATAGACAGATCTTTTCTTACAGCATTGTGTGAGTTAGTTTTAACTGCAGTAACTGACTAAATGTTTTGATTTTCTCTCTGTTTATACCCGAAGTATTTAAAAGCTGTGTCACTGATTTTGGTTACTTGGACAAGCAGAAAATAAACTGCCACATTATCAGCCAATAAAGTTGTTGTGTTAAATGTGCTTTCAAACAGTATCCAATTTACACATACATCAGACACAGAGTAATGTTATCATTTACTTGGAGTCATGTTTGTGCTCACCTACTGAATCCAAGTCCAGTATTCACTTTAACTGCTAAATGCTCCACTAAGTTCACCAGCTAGTCTCTAACTGTGTCTGTTTGCTGCTAAGCATGCATTGTACAGTGGGTGTATAAGAGATCGTCACTGAAAGCTGAAGCTGCTGCTGCTGCTGCTGCTGCTGCTGCTGCTGCTGGAAACCAGGATGAGAGCAGTGAAAGGGAGACTACAACAATTAAACTTCAGGCGTAACACCAACACAAAGAGCTGAAAGCCGCTAAAAACTGTAGAGCTGTGGGGGGAGCTGTGTCAGTCATTTGACATATTGATTCTACTTGGTTTTGCAATATCATTTTGTAGTCTCCGCAAAATCCCACATTGCTTAGAAGAATTTTTAGGATCTGGGGGTATTATTTGGGCACTAAAACCAAATTAGAATTTTAATTTTGAATATTAATTTCGATCAAAAAATAAGAAATATGATGCAATTAGTGTTTAATAAGAAATCATTTTCAGGACTAAACATAGGCTTATATACCGGTGTATTGGATTTAGCAGATTAGATGCTTATATCTGTACCCATATCCAGAGGCCAAGCCTCATTATCAGTGACTGTCTTCTACCTTGTTTTCAATATTTTTTCATGAAGACTAAAAATAGTAAAATATATCCATTTGAGAAGAGTAACTGGCTGGTTTTTAGCAGACCAATTTAGCAATTAAAATATATTAGATGGAAGCATCTAATATATTCCCCTCCTCCTCACACCCTAGTTTTAACCTCCATTTCTGTTTGCTAGCCTTTGCATGTTATCGATGCATGTTTTGTTTGCCATGTCAACTTGTCAAATTACCCAATATGTTAGTACTTATGTCCCCGTATTATTTTGCTGATAAAAACAAAAAGTATACAACAACTTGAACACCTGACGACACACAACATGAGTGTATATTGACTGTCCATGCTCGCATCATGGAGTGTCTCTCCTGCCAGGCAGCTGATAGGCTGTCATCAGAAGAGCCACTCACAGTGGAAGGCAGTAGAGGTTGGACCACAAGTTGTGACTGAATCTCACTCCTACGCTCTATATGCCAATAGACATGTACATCATTCCTGTTTTCTTTCTTTGTTTTACACAAAGTCAAATGCGTCAAATTGTTTTCTACAAAGAAAAAATTACTTGTTTTTAAGGGAGGATATTGCAATTACTAGTTCAACAGTGTAAACACTGTGTTCACAAACATCTGCTGCTTATCTTGGCAGGTAAAAGAGGCCAAACATGTAATTTGTGTGAGTAGGTAGTTCAACAATGTGGCCAAGGACATTAGCGTTTACAATACAAAAGATATGTGGTCAAATGCGTAACAGACTGCCTTGGCAAGTGGTTTGAACAATTTGAACACAATGCATCTTGGTGGTTGTTTACACTTACAGCTGTCCAGCTGTGATCTGATCACCCAACACACATGTTAATAGGTGTAAACAGCCTCTAAGAGTATACTAACCTGGTGAGTTTGCTGACCACAGGTGTTGAGTTGTTTGTTAAAGCTTCAGTTGCAGAGCTGTCACTGTTCATTCTCTGCCTCTGGGAAGAACTATAGTGGAACACAGAGGAAACAAAGTCAATGCAAAAACTCCCATTTCTGATTTTCGCTGAGGTCTTCAGCTTCCATACAGCCCTGGAAATGTACTAAGGAGGGGAGACTTAGAGAATGTGAACCATGTGGTCTGTTAACTCATCTCAATATTTATATTAATTAATTCTAATTAATAAATTATAATCTTACTTTACATCCCTATAAGGTTCTTCAAATGCATATACTGTGTACAAGGAGGCATTGATGCAACAGATTTTCACATTATGCACTTGCAATGATGATGAAAACTAATGTCAAAACTATGACCCACAACCTTTTTGTAACCTCTTTGCGTTCACTTATCTCGTAAGTTTGGATCCTTGCTACATAAATAGTTAGTAAACTATTAACTAATTTAACTAGTTAAATAGTTGAACACTGAGCATGAGTGAGATAAAGGCACAGGCAGAGAAAAGGAGAAAGAAGAGGAAAACATTTTGAAGGGCTAGACATTACTAAAAAGGAAGTCCAAGAGTACCAGAACTGCAATGGGGTGCAGAAGACATACAGTAAGTCTGGTTTACTGGAGTACCATTTATAAGATGTCACCTAGTCTGAGCAGAGGACTGAAGAGCATGGCCCAATGGTGGATGAGTTTTAAAGATTTTATCTTTCCACGATCCAACAACCTCAAGCAACCTCTTTTGGGAAGCTGAATAATGACTGTCTTCTCTCAGAGCAGTGGAAGTAGCGTAATGTTGTCACAGCCACAAAATATCTCAGGGAGGAGGAGAGAAGCACAGTACAGCCTTCTTTAGTCACACCATGCAAACATAAACCACAGTAGAGGTCTCTAAGCCTGTCGGGCTCCAATTGGCTCCAACACTCCGAGTTGATGCAGGGGGCATTCTGGCCTTCTTTAATAGACTCGGTTTGGACTTATTGTGCCCATATACACGCAGACAAAGGGACAGAGTTGCGGGAGAATGAGTTGTCAAACTTGTTAAAAAATATCACAGAAAATTAATGTGAATCTTGCATAAGGGTCATAATGCAGGTATATTCTTTCACACTGAAATGAACTAACTCTACATGGATATATTGCCAATATGTCAATTAATACCAATAATCGTTTTTTATTGATTAATGAACACACAAAAAACGTTTACAATGCCCATCCAAGTTTTCCTCAGCCTACTTCTTCCTCTACCACCAACATTTCTGTAACTTGTGTTCATATCTCGGACTACTTCTTCATCTCCTACTCTCTCCTCCTTTCTCGAACCTCTCTGTACGCATGCTGTCCCTTTCTACCACAACCTTTCCTCTCAGTCTCCCTCTTTTCTTGCCTCATCTGTCCAATCAGCTCTCATTTACAACAGTGATAAACGTAGCTCTCCTGTGCATGCCAACCTTACCCTGACGTAACCAACAGTATTAATCCACAATAAAACATTTTTTTAAATGGTGTTGTTAATGTTGTTCAGTCTGGTTTCTTCTCTGATTGTATTGAAACTATCAATAACACTAAACATAAAATAAACTCTTATATAATGTGAATGCATTGGGAATACATTTCTGCCATATTCATGTGACTGTGGCATGTTCCATTATTCACAAATCCACAAAGTTTTCTTTCCTGAAATACACCTAATATTTAAGAAATTCCCTGACATGTGGAGAACCTGATGTCTTGTGAGCCTTGTGTCTGCTTCAACAGATTTTCGCCTGATGCTCAAGTGTAAACTGTCAGTATGTGAAGCTATCAGCTCAAAAATCATTTAAAAAAACAAAATGTTTTGTGTGTAGGTGTCTTTCAGTGTGTTTGTCAGAGAGACAGAGGGATAGAGAGAAGCAGAAGAGAGAGGTAATTATAGTGGGAGGAATAACGTTCACCTCTAGCCCTGCGTGGGCAAACAGCTACACTGTTTGTGTGAGAGTGTGTGTGTGTCTAAGTACAGTAGATTGGTGTGACTCTTGAGTACTCTGACATGCATTCCATTTCTCTCTTCATCCACTGCTTTTCTGACTCTATCTTTCTCCTAAACCCATCTCTCCCTCACTCTGCCCCTGCCTCTCTGTCTCATCTCTCCTCCTCATCCTCCCACTCAGTGCACTCAGCATTGCAAATCAGACCGCCAACACACATGCACACACGTGTGTTTGCGTGTGCGCACACGCACACGCACACAAGCACACAAGCACACACACACACACGCACACACACAGCCGGAGGGAAGTCTCGTTAGGATCAGCAGGTTGTGGTGCTCTGCCTGTACTTACATTGTACCTTTATTTATTCCCTCTTTCTATTGTTTATGCTAATCTTTTATGTACTGCACAGTAGCTTAAATGCCAGGAGAAATATTATGATCCTTAAAGTTTTTATTTTATCACATAGTCATAATCATATTTGCCAAATCATAAAGTTCTATTATCTGCTTTGTAGTTTTAATGGCTGATAATCAAAGTATTCAGGGCTCTGAGACATCAGATAATTAAACAAAGAGGACACAAAAAATAAATACAGTTCCAGGCTCTAAACCAAACAGACTAATAGATGTTAGCAAGGGTCAATTAACTGTAGCGGTGCTGTCAGTGCAGTGTGTCCACTTATACTAATAACTAGCATTCATTACTAAAATGTTAAAAAAGAGTACTGATGCTAATGAGTAAACACATTACATTATGTGTTCAGGAACAGAGAGACACACACACATTAACGTTAACATCATAGCAAAGACAACGTCATGTTGAACAAAAAAAAAACAAGTAGACTAAATTGTTATTTGACTCTAAAAAGGGGAATTTAAATTGAAGATAGGGAACAGAGAATGATCGTCTAATACAGTCTCAGTTATCACTAACTTGCTGTAGAAACAGGAAGACAGAGCCCAGAGAGGAGCGGGTATGTGCTCACTGCTCGACAGGAGAAGTAAAACCATAAATACACTTCCTCCTCCACTGTGATATGTATCTGTCTGCTACAGCCTGAGGGACGCACAACCCCCATAAGATCCCAAAAAATCTGGATTTATACAGTTTGAAGTAATTGTATTAAATTGTACTGTATTGTACAGCAAGCAAAGTATGGACTGCATCAGTACAATATAGAACCTATATGTGACACATGTGAACTGCTTTGGTAACATGTTTTTGTTCATGCTAATAAAGCAAAGTGAACTGACAAGACAAGATAAACCTTTATTTAACCCCAGAGGGAAAATGCCGGTGTTGCCGATAGAACAGATAGGTAAAGAAATTCTAAAAATAAACAATTAGAAGTATGTGTAATAAAAGTAAGAATAGTGACGTGGTTAGGAGCAGCAAAGTCAAAAAAGTAAAAAAATATTTTATATGTATCATACCATTATGTAATAAAACAGTAAAATATTAACATAATACAGTATATAATAGCAAGGTGTGCAATATTTGCAAAAATATATTTTCATTAGTGTATTATCACCTGAAAGTAAGATTTGTTGTGTTTTCTTCATACAGAGGTCCTTTTCCATGAAGGCCGCAATTTTGAACTGTCATGTTTCTACAGTAGCCCAGAACGAACTAACCAAACACACATATTTTTTTCCAACTTTGCAGCCACCATAGTTTCTTTTACTCGCTTGGAAGGTGATACTCCACTTGATACCTCCTACACGGTGGTCCTTTAAGTACTGACTTCTCAAGGAACTAGTTATAATTACAAAATGTAGTTATATAAAGGAGGAGACTCTTCTAATATTCTTTATATTTCTAAACAACAAATCCCCTGTGCAGAATCAGTATTGTGCGTGTATCAACGCCTGATTTATCGTCTTCTTCTGTGCCATTGTCCAAAAACTAAAATCACAGTTTTGAGAATTTTTTTTGGGCTGAATCCCACATACATAATGCCAAAAATACTGAAAGTAGTCCCTAACAAGTGTATTATTTCCTCAAAAATCTATAAACTATACATTTGCAAACCGTTTTTAAAGATGTATGTCTACTTCAGTAGGAACCAATGAGCTGAGAGCTGAAAGCCATAGGCAGGAAGTCACAAAGTATTGAGAGTTGAAAAATGCCAAACAACAACATGTTTGCATGGGTTTGTTGACAATAAGTAAAATACAGAATAACAAAAAACTTATCTTATAAATCAGAACAGACAAAAATGTATCACTGAATCTTTTTTTCTCATTCTGTTTGAAGAGCATCAACAGACAGCTGCTCTAACAGGTTTCTGTAGGTGAGAATTTAATCTGTGTGTACATATGGTTAAAAGGATTTCATATGGAGGCAGGGCAAGCTGAAAAAAAAAAACTTATACACAGACACACACACACAACCATAGCTAATATTATAAGTATCACTTGGCTGTTTCTCAGAAGGAAAAGAAACGGTGGAAAAATGCAGATAGGAAATATTATTCATGTATTTACACACCCACACACATATGCACTTATGCGTGCGCACACACACACACACACACACACACACACACACACACACACACACACACACACACACACACACACACACACACACACACACACACACACACACACACACACACACACACACACACACACACACATTTTTGTTCAGGAACAACAGCAACTCAGCCACGTAGTGGAAGACCACGTAAAATCACAGAGCTGGGACAACGACTGCGAAGGCGCATGGTGCGTAAAAGTCGCCAACGCTTTGCTTTTTCCATAGCTAGAGTTCTGAACTTCCACTTAATGTGAGTACAAAAACTGTTCATGGAATGGGTTTCCTTGGCCGAGCAGTTGCATGCAAGCCTCACATCATCAAGTCCAATGCCAAGCGTCGAATGGAGTGGTGAAAAGTGCATCGTCACTGGACTGTGGAGCAGTGGAAACGTGTTCTGTGGAGTGATGAATAACACTTCTCTGTTTGGCAGTCAGATGGTTGAGTCTGTGTTTGGCTGATGCCGGGAGAACATTACCTGCCTGACTGCATTGTGCCAACTGTGAAGTTTGGTGGAGATGGGATAATGGTATGGGGCTGTTTTTCAGGGCTTGGGCTAGGCCCCTTATTTCCAGTGAAGGGCTATGTTAATGCTTCAGCATACCAAGACATTTTGGACAATGTTATGCTTCCAACTTCGTGGCAACAGTTTGCGGAAGGCCCTTTTCTGTTCCCATATGACTGTGCCCTAGTGCACAAAGCAAGGTCCATAAAGACATGGTTTGATGAGTTCGATGTGGAAGAACTTGACTGGCCTGCACAGAGCCCTGACCTCCACCCCATTGAGCACCTTTGGGATGGAGATTGTGAGCCAGGCCTTCTCATCCAACATCAGCGCCTGACCTCATAAATGCTCTACAGAATGAATCAGCACAAATTCCCACAGAAACGCTCCAAAATCTTGTGACAAGCCTTCCAAGAGGAGAGGAAGCTGTTACAGCTGCAAAAGTGGGACCAACTCCATATTAAAGTATGTATGTATTTGAATATAATGTCATTACAGTCCCTGTTGGTATTATAGTCAGGTGGCCGAATACTTTTGTCCATATATATGCACATAAATAAATAAATAAACAAACATATATATATATATATATATATATATATACATGCATAAATAGCCATATTCTTGCTATGCAACAGTAAAAAAAAATATGCAAACAAAATTTCCATAGGCATATTATTATCTATTTTCAAAGTTTAAGCCTTCAATACATGAACCAAAGTGAGGCAGTACTGTTAAGTGTACTGCATTTATATAGCACTTGTATCCTAAGCACTTTGAAATGTTTAAAACCCTCACACAAACCGTTGGCAGCGAGCTACCATGTATGGCACTTTGAGATGTGGACAGGACCAACATTTGTGCAGTACTCCTGGGCTTTTTTTCTCCCCGAGGGCTTTTAAAGCATGAACTCCTGCTGCAGGGTTTCATTTCAACGACTGATCATATTGAAATAAACGAGGAACCCTGCATTTGTTGCCCCAGGACCACGGTCAGACTAAAAGGCCCCCAAGAGGTCAGTACTCTGCATGATAATGTCAACCATTATCGACATATGCTGAGAGTTCAGTTTTTTAAATTGAATTCTGTCCACATTTCCCCAAATGTCATCCACCTATAGTGTGTAGTAGTAGACAGACGTTTTTTGACACTGTCTCTTCCCTTTCTGTCTTGTACTAGATACTAGGCCTGCACAATATGAGGAAATTCTGCGATGTGCGATAACACTGTTCAATATTGCAATGATTTGTGATAAAGAAACAAATATTGAAGACTGCATATTAGGCTTTACAGTTCCTATGTCAGCCCGGTTGTCTTTAAATTCAGAGCTGTATAAGAATTTAATATTTTACATAAAACTAGATGTTTTAGAGCAGCAACTATAATGTTTACAACCAAAAAGTCATTATAAAAACTCAATAATATCTAATTGAAAACAAATTTAAAGTGCCTAGCAATGGTTTTATTGCATTTACTTTCAGTAATGAGCGTAGTTGTCATTAACTCAAGTACTTTTCCCATAAGTACATAAAATGTTTTTTCTTATTCATCGCGTTAAAATGGCCAGTGTATTGTGCTGTATATTGTGCTCTATAGCTTTTGCTGCAACAGTCTTAAAACAATGGCTCTGGTTGGTTAGGCTCAGGTTAAGGTGGTGGACCTACCTGCTGTTTACCAGGCTGGAGGCAGGGTTAACCAAGTCTGGCATGGCTGACGGGGAGGTGCCAACCGTTGTCATAACAACCAGTTCAGGGTCCAGGATGAAGATCTCCTCCTGGGAAATTTCTGATACGTAGTTGAGATGTTCCTGATAAAAAAAATGAAACAGAACAGTTTCAAACAAACAGTCAGTCCAGACAGATATTATCAAGACCCTGTTTGAAGCTCCAACGATATTATAATAGACATTAATCCTTATTGTATGACTATGTCATTAAAAAAGGCCTTCTTTAACCAACCACACAAACATCTATAGCTGGAATTCTTTGTCACACTGTAGCAGAGTTGTATCTATAACTGGACAGTCTTGTTGTTTATTTATCTTTCTTTTTTGTATTTATGGCATATAATGTTGATTCACTCTTTGTATACTTCTTCAAACTTGCAACATTTTGTTTATTTTATTTATTTTTTTCCCGCTTCATAGCTTGAACATCACTGAATGACGTCTGATTGGGTTTGATTTTTAAGGGCTAAGCCAAAATTGTTTAAATCAGCTGGACCAGATTTTGACCATGGCAACACCTGCTCACTCCAGTAGGCTAGACAGAGACCAAACATCCCAGACCCTGGACAGAGGGACCATGTTCCAAGCCAACAGAGTGCAGAATGAGTGTTACATCGATAATGCTCTGTGCTCAAACATGGACGGACACAGTTTCTCAAATGTCAAACTTTTTTTTTGTTTTTATGTAAAAAAGAAACCATATCATCATTACTATCTACCTTTACATTCCCCCTTACAAAATAAAAAAAAATGCCCTGCTGGATTATTTCCTGGGTATATACGTGTAGGTTTATACATTACTGTATATATAATTTTATTTTATTTTTTAAAATATTAAATAGACCGATCAGCCATAATATTTTGACCACTGACAGGTGAAGTGAATAACACTGATTATGTCATTATCACGGCACCTATCAGTGGGTGATATATTCAGTGGGATATATTAGGTAGCAAGTGAAGTTTTTTTTGCGAATTTGACAAGGGTCAAATTGTAGCTGTGCATCACAGTTTGTTGATAGATAGATCGATCGAACCAGTAGCATACAAAACATACATTAAACATACATTAAACTAAAATTAAAAACCCTAACCTTAAGAATAGAATTAAAAATTAAAAATAGAATTAAATTATAAACTCTGATTTTAAACTTAGAGGGAGCTGAACTAACAAGTAGCCAGATGCAGTAGTAAAAGCCTCCATACCTGTAGTGTATGAACCACTTGTACCACTAATATGGCAAGTACACCTTCACTACCCTGACAATAGGAATAATTAGGCAGCTGGCAAGAAACCAAATTTTGTTCACACTCATGGAACAGTGGACATCTGCCACCACTGTTACAGCGATTATAGAAAGTCCAAGTGTACAATTTTCACTGGGAAGACTCTTATTTCCATCCCCTTTATTTTTACAGTTTCAGTTTCAGTTTAATCCATTCATTAAAATAACTTTCAACTGTGTCCTCCTACTGTCCAAATGCTAATGGAAGGTTGAAACAATGTCACCTTCGGTTATGAAGCTTTATGAACAGCAGCAGGTGATTTCTGACCTTTTTGAGTTTTGCAACATACATGCTGCCATATCCTTTTGAAGGCATGAGGTTTTGTGATGAGGAAGTCCCTTCACATTTTACTCTGCAAGTTAATTTGTTTTTATTTACAGATAATTCTCCCAAAATTACACCGATTATCATCTGCCAAATGCAATGAGAGACTGTGCTCTTTTTAGTAAAGAAATTGAAGTTAGAATGTCAATCTTCGTTAAATAACATAATATTATTTATTTTGAAGTGCCAGGTTTCCGTCAAGGACATAATAGGTGATTATAGAGTTAATGTATTCTTATTATCATCATTATGGATGTCATCTTAACTTTTCTAGACGATATATATTTACATAAATGAATTAATATATTATTTAAATGCCTTTTTTGGTTGAGAAACCTACGCTCTTTAGTAAATCACAAAGACAAACTTCTCCTACACGCACACACAAAGCTAATCTTGTGAAATTAAAAGTGAGTGAGTGTGGGTGCACAGGTGCTTTCATTCTGTGTGCAGCCATCTCACACGTGTTGTGTCTGAAAGTATTCATGTCACCTGAACAGTGAGAACTCATCAGTGGGTCAGGCCCCGTGCATATTTCATATGTTACTACAGTTGCAATCAGAAATATTCAACCCCCTCGCCTCAAAAGACATTATATTGATGTGGATGAAAGATAATGACAATAAATCAGAAAAAAATCATCAAACTCAAAATCATTAAACATAAAAACAAAACAAAAAAAATTATTGATACATATTTCAGTTATTTTGACAACAGAAGTTGACTTAACTTTGAAGTTCAAATGAAAAAATTAACTCTTAACACATGTGCATGTGCAGTATTATTCAACCCCCAGCTTCAGTACTTCCTTCCATCCTTTAGCTTTTATAACTTCCATGCTTGACCGTGGGCATGGTATTCTTCTGGTCATAAGCCTGTCTTTTGCACGCCAGACATACCGCTGGTCCATATGTCCACAGTTCTAGTTTGGTTTCATCAGTCCATAGAACTGTCTCCCAAAACTCTGTAGTCTTATCCAAAATTCCTCCTGGCATATTCTAGTCGACTTTTGATGGCTATCTAAACAGAATATACTCTTACACACAAATACTACATCATGCATTTTCTATGTTGATATTATGTATCACTCAACTCATGAAGAAGTCATCTGAAGCAGAATCTTGTTCTTTGAAAAACTTTAATTGATAAATCCTTGAATATTTGTGATTGCAACTTTACATTTAGAGATAGTCTTGACATGATAGAAAACACCCAGTGAAGTTGAGTTAATAGGCGAGCTAGACTTACCTGTGCTCTGTCTATCCTATAGAAACGATCTGCTGTTGTAGCTAGAGAGGCAAACAGAAACACAATTTGAAGATATCTGAACTCAAAACATTATTGTGGTAGCTAGTAAGCATTGAATAGAAATATCTACTGGTGACATGAGAAATTAACACATTGGTTTATTTCCAAATCAGAAATAAATTAATTTTTTCATTCATTTGTTCATTTCTGTTTATTAACATGTTAGTTTAAAAATTAATCTAAATTAGTGTGGTAAATTTGTGTTTGACACCAAACTGGGGTGCCAGCTGGGGCGGCCCGGCATTTTAGGGGTGTCAGCAACCCCCCATGCCACCCCTCTAGATATGCCCCTGATCGAAAGGTTCACAATATGACTGATCATCAGCTAACCACACACACATTTTTTTCCCTCTTCAAACGCAAAGCAAATGTTCAGTTCTCTCTCTCTCTCTCTCTCTCTCTCTCTCTCTCTCTCTCTCTCTCTCTCTCAGCTAGCTATATTTGTTTGACTCTAGTTCTCTGCTAAATTCCACCAGGACTCACAGGCAGAGGTGTATGTGTGTGTGGGTTTGTGTGCTTGTGAATGCATGGATAATATTGTGTAATATGCAGGGTTTTTCTCTGTGATATTTTTGGTAAGCTGCTGCTGTATGACATTAATATGCATTAAATTCAGCAACAAAAAGAATCTGATGGAACTATGCTTTATGTCATTTTGAGGAAGTACCAGTACACAAACTTGTTTGCATCTTACAGGAGGTGTGTTTGTATGCATTTATTTAACTATAATCTTCAAATGAAAATCAGATTTTCAACTTTGGTTGTAAAAGTTTCTATCAGTTATGATAACACTGCTTGGACCCAAGCCTTAGAATACTGCTTGACCAAGCTTCCCAACAGAAATATGAATCCTCTGATCTTACAAAGCCACAGTTTAACCATAAAATCAATCAATTCAGTTTATCACTGAGATTCATAAGCTACGAACTAATACCTGGTGTATCACCTTAAAGTAAGAATGGTTATGGTAAATGGTATGGTTGTATTGCGCCTTTCTAGTCTTCCACTCAAATCGCTTTTACACTATGTGCCACATTCACCCTTTCACTCAGTGATGGAAAAGCCTATTGAACAGAAACTAGTGCATTCATACACATTCACACACCGATCGGGAGCAATTTGGGATCCAGTATCTTGCTCAAGGACACTTCGACATGTGTGCAGGAGCCAGGGATCGAACCTATAACCTTCTGATTAAGGGATGACCTGCTCTGCCTCTGCACCACAGCTGCCCAATGTCTTTGTTATGTCTTTGTTACCTCAGAATGACCCTTTTTAAATCGTCCATGTAGTCTGTCCCCCGCTGATAGAATTTTTCAAAAATTAATTGATTGTTTAACCCTCCTTATTTCTTTATATTTCGTATACTGCCCTCTAGGGATGTAACAATACATTAAGATCACAATTCAACAGAATTCATGAAAACTTTGCAAAATGCATATTTCCTTTTCTAAAAATAATATAAATAAATAGAACCGTGTCAATTTTGGAAAACAGCCTCATGTATCTTGCCAATGTCTATTATGTTCCTACGTTTTTAATTTTCTGGCTTAGGGAAGGCAAAAAGCTGCCACACCTACGGTTTAAAAAGGATGGTGCATCCTGAATTTTAAAGTCTTCCCATGTCTCTGCGCCTTCATATAGCTACTGACGCAAGTGGTGTACAAGAAACAGCAAAAGTAGATAGCGCCCTCAGCTGTTTAACCTAATTTAACTGTCTCTCAGTATATCGTTTCATTCCTACCCTCAACATTGACCTGCCCTTGCCACACCCCTCTGATGAAACTTGCCTATCAAATTTTATACCAGAAATCAATTTTGTATGAAGAAACAACAACTGCCACTCAACAAGTTGGAAAATAACTGTGTTTCACAATGCAGAGACTATTATTCAGTGCACGACACTAAAAACATTCAATTATTGAATTTTTTTTGGAGGTAACTGATCTGGATTGTTGTTGTTGTTGTTGTTGTTATATTCACAGACTATGTGAAAAATTAATTCCAAAGTTTATCTGAAGTTAATATCACTATATAGCAGTCTGACTTTTTAGTACAAAATTCCCTCTTTAATAAAAAAAATATAAAAACCTATGCCTTATTGAATTATGCTTACATAATAGAGCATTAATTATTTACGCAATTACGCAAGTACAATTATGCTATTTTTGTCTGTACTTTATGCACATGGAGAAAACAATGTTCACAATGTGAAAACATTTTTATGGTAAGTTGGTAGAGGGGATATTGAGGCAAGAGAGCCCAGGTAGTGGAAAAACTTACCAAGGCAATGGTAAATTGTTATTAGAAATTATAACAATGTGATGTACTTACAGTCAAGGAAACACCACTTTGGAGATAATCTTTGCGAGGAAAGAATCTTGGCGGCCTCCTCCTGAATGACAAACAGAACAGTTAGAGAACGAGATGAGTGGCTGACAGTGGAACAGGAATGTGAATAGTGGTCCATCTATCTTTAAAAGAAAAGGACCAACAAGCTGACAGAATATCTCCAAGAAGAGAAGAGAAGAGGAAATTGATGTATGGAACAAAAGGTTGGCTTCTAAAAAGGCGGGACATATCACATCCTCTCTATGGTGAATATGAGTTGTTACCATCAGGACTAAGGTAAAGAGTACTGCACTTTCCAGCTGTGGGGCACTGCTTGGTGGCTGGTTTCGGTAACCAGGCTTCATTCAGGCCATATCAGCTCTACCCACGCCCCACCTCTTTGCAGATTTTTCAATTATCAGGGAGCCGGCAGAGTCAGGACTGTCAAGATGGCGGCGGAAAGAGCCAACCACACTGAGCTTCACAAGGGCTCTTTAGGAACTATGATGGAGTGGATGGAGACTATGGTACATCCATTTATAATTATACAGTCTAAAATTAAGCCTCACAACCGCCACAGACATTAACACTAGCCCTTGTAAAGCAACAACTTAACTCATGTAACTTGATGGCGATTTTATGAATGTAGTCATTTGTTTGCAGAAATCTGTCAATAGCACAATTTCTGTCAAAGGTCACCTCTCCTCTGGTCTTTCTACCTGCAAACTTGTGACATCTGTCTGACAAAATAGCCATTATTCTGTTGAGCTTGAACCCATTCATATAACAGTGGTCACATGTAAATCAAAATCAAATTGCAATTCAATCAGCTGTGCAATGTTTGAAAACTCAGGAGAATTCTGTCTGTGATCTGGAGAAATTGTCCCACACCTTCATATCCACTAGCCTCATTACTGCATCTTTTTGTATTTTGGTATCACTTGGACCTCCATTTCATCCCTCTCCAATTAGCTCAGAATGACACAGCAAGACTTTTTACTTCAAAAAACAGACACCATGTTACTGAGATTCCTGCCTCCCATCTATGGCTTTACTGTTAGTTGTAGACTGAAGTTTAGAAGCTTGTTCTTTGTTTACACAGCGCTAACTGGTCCATCTGTGAACTCCTGCCCCCGTATCACACAGTCAGACACCTCAGATCCTCTGACCAAAGTCTGTTCACAGATCAAGGACTAAATGTTGTGGTGATAGAGCTTTCTCAGCAGACACCCCAAAACTGTGAATTTTTCTTCCTCCAACAATTTTTTCTTCTCACTCTATTGATGATTTCAGTAACATTTTAGCTTCTCCTCTCTAACTAAACCCAGACAATTTAGTAATAATTAACAAGTGAGTGACACAGCTTCCAAATTAGTTGCTTCTCTGCAGTGGAAAGAACAGGCAGCTGTGCCTTTTTCATTAATCTTGCGATAGACGAGCACAACATAACAGCTTCGGATCTGTTGGTTGGTCAATATGCTTTTGTGTAACTTTATACCACAGCAGTTTATGTATGCTGATGTATGTTCAAGTGTTAATTTTCCTTCTTTTTCCTTCGGCCAGCCTGATCACTACTGCACAGACTTTTCTTTTGTGATGCCATCTTTAGTCATTCTGTAGCCTCAACTGTAGCTTCAAAATGATTAGGAAAAAAAAAATGCATGACAAAAACTAGATTAAAATGTTTTTGTTTGTTGACTAAAACTGGACGAAGACTAATTCAAATCTAATTATTAAAAATTTTCATCAAAAGGCTAAGACTACAATAACATCTCTCAACTCTCATGTCATACAGTTTCCATCACAGGTTTTATGCTGTGCAAGAGGCTTTTCCACAGTGACTGGGATATAATCTTACCACAATACTGAATACTCGTGATTTTTAGCGCAAAAATTGTCAAATTTATAGACAATCCATGCTGAAGCTGCAGCTTCACTGTAATACAAAAAAAACATTGCAGAGATGTGAGAGTGAAAAAGTCTTTCTTAGAAGAGACGGGGAAAACAAGTCGAAGACAGTAAAGTCATTTTCTTTTCAAAATGCAAACCTTTCATGCAGACTATGACAGAAAAGCTCGCTGAAGTAAACACCTCTCCTACTCTGCTTCTCTGCGTTTGTCTGTACTTATCTAATCCTGCTGTCGAGTTAAGCAGCAGTCTCAAGCTGAGTAAAACGCCCGCAGGCTTTTACAGCAAACCTACAAACATGGAATCAAAAGCTGAACTCGTCTGACTGACTGACTGACTCTTTTCTTCTTCACCTTCTTTCTTCTGCTTCGCCATTTATGGCTGTTTGTTTTCTTACACACAAGGTTTCTTCTCTGTTTTGGTCAGATCTAGTAAGCCTTATAGGGTCGTTTCTGACTCATTCTGCACCTGGAGTCATTTGTGTTATTTATCAAACAGGAGCAGCAGCCTGGAAGTGCCATTTACCTGTCCCTCCAGGTATCAGCAGTGAGCTGCACCTCTCCTTTTCTCAAATTTTCTAACCAGATAGCTGGTTCCACTGAATTTTATTCAGGGCCACATGGTTTTCAAAGGCCTGCTCTACTCCTCTAAAAACAAGGTGCAGCAGGCAGTGGTGGAAAGTAGTGGTGCATTTATGGTGAAACAGCTCAGTCAGGGTTAGGATTAGCACACTAAACTATCTAAAATGATGCATTTGCTGCATTTTTCGACCTGCAGGTATAGACTATGATGGAGAAAAGAAACAAAATAACCTTCATTCTGCAGAAAGCTTAAGGACAGCAGACAAAAAGCGAGTGCACCCCAAGAAAACCCCAAGAGTCTGTGTTGATGAATTGTTAAATAAATGAATTAATGTAAAAGACAGGACAGTAGTATTGCAAATTTTGAGAGACACATGCCAGGTCTTCAAGCCAGCAGAAGTGACATTCGGCGGCTGTGCTCTTTAGTAAAATCCATAAAAACTACAGATTGGCACACCTTTGTTGCATGCTCTCTCTCCTTCTCCATATTTTCTGTCTCTCACCAGCTATCATTGTGCTGAGAAAAGTAAAAAAATTAAAAATAAAAAACCCAAAAAGCCACAAAGCCGTGATGGCAGGTAGTATTAACATCAGTGCAAACTGGAACAGCTGTCTGACACAGCTTCTGTCTTTGTACACAGCCATAACATTATGACCACGTGGGCACCCTGGTGGACATAATGTTATATATATATATATATATATATATATATATATTTATATAATAAATTGGGGAACTAAAAGATCCACATGCTTACTTTAACACGTTATCCTGATGATGGAAGATGATATTTGACAGTAAAAAAACATCATAAAGCATTGTTCTGGTCACAGAGTGATTGAATGTACAGAATATATGGCACTTCAAAAGGTTTACTTTATTACTGTAGGTCATTATGAGAAATCAGCAATTTTTCTCCTACTGAATCATAAAATGTACTAGTGAGCATCATCAGTCACCAGAGAGCAAAAGATCAAACGTTAGAGCGAGTGCTACATCATTTGGTTGCTATGCAACACAAAGTCTGACAACAACTCATGAGCTGTCTTTTTAGTATTGGTGATCTAACCTATATAAAACAGGAAAGTGTTGTTAAAAATAGCATTTACAGAGTTAGTGTTGCTCTGCTTGCTCCTGAAGGGGAAGATGAAAAGCATTGTGAGGATTTTGGTACATCCACATAAGAAGAACAGAACACAGAGTTTCACCCCATCTACAGTGTTGGCCTGAATACAGCATATTCAAGAGCTACTTTTGCATTCATTACATTTGCCTATACTTAATGGTTCTGGTACAGAAACTAGCTTGCCAACATTATCACGAGAAAAATACTATCTGAATGGTAAGTTGGCTAACGTTAGGTCATAAAATTACTTCACCAGCTAACGTGATCCATGATAATAACTCATGCAAGGCAGGGGCATCCAACTGGCTAAATAGCCTAAGCTAAGCTGGAGTTGGCTGGCTGGCTGTGGCTTGACAGCATAGTGCGGGTTGGGCATTGGTTGATTTGTGGTGTTGGCTGATGGGGTGATTTGTAAACGGCAAACTAGTTAGTAGCATGGAGTCAACGGTCCAAATAAAATATAGTAACATTGCAGATAGTAAAGTTATTTTAAAAATGATTGTTATTGTTTTCCAGTGTTCAGTCTACTGTATGTCATTTCTGGCCGATGCCCGAGATGATGCTTGCTTGTGCCAAGACTAGACAGACTGTGTATGAAGAACAACAGCGGGCAACAGTACACTGACTGCAGTTCACTTAACGGCCAGAGGTGTCACAATTAACATTGAAAGTTACATAATAAACTTTTAAATAAAGGACAAGCATGATCTGCAGGACTGCTTTTTGAACACAATTCAGGTTGCATATAGGCCAGCATGCTGTAAAAGCAACAAAAGCTCATCCCCCAAACCGCACATGTCAGGGTGACAGAGCATGACAGTACAGCATCCCAGCAGCAAACCCCCCCGGCCACTGAGAGGAAAGGTAGAAAAGAAACAGACAGAAAAAAAAGACAATTTGAGAGTGACTCACAAGAGCAGTGCACACGTGAGCTTGTTTTCTCTGCTCTCTGAGAGTATTTGTTAAATGTTGTTGAGACAAAGCATCTCAAGAAGGTCAACTTTGATTTACACTGAGCACTTATAACAAAATAATATAGCTAATTATGTTCTGAAGCAAAAAGGACAGGCATTGATGGTAACCTGCATATATCTGCACAGCAATGAGTTGTTATTCAAACAGTCTCTAGATTTCATCTGACTTTTTTTCAACTGGCTATTTTGTAAATGATCCTTGAACAAAAGAGTTTTAGTGTTTCCAGTTCCCTATGAGAGAGAAGTGTGGATGTGAAGATGTGTTGGATGACCTTGAGGTGGGTTTGCTGATATCACTACCAATTAGTTCTAGACTGCCTACACTACATCCACAATTGCTGAAATCTTTAACTTGTTTTTTTGTTGATACTTTTTTGAGATATACATCATGGAGACTTGAAGAGACGTTGAATTTGTTCTGGTTTTGTTCTGGGTAATACCTTACAATCTTTCTGACTGACAATGACAATTAAA